TGAGAGAATGAGTTACGTGGGGTCCATGATTTAAAAGTGACTCTGGAGAACCCAAAACACTCAGCTCATCCACTTTATCCATAGAGAGATTAGGCCTGGGTGGAAGATTGGATGAGAGGCATCTCTTATCAGTCTGAGAGGAATAGTGTGTACTAAAGAAACTGATCAAAAGGAGGAAGACATTTGAGGGTACTAGGGAGGAGTATGACTCTGATGGGTTGAAATTCTACATGGGAACAATTGCAAAAGAAGCTATTGGCAACATCTACAGGAGAGCAGAGAATAGTAAGAATTAGGTGTAAATTGAAGAGCAGTGAGTGTTCAGGGAGTCATCTTGATGGAATGACAGTCCACCTCCCTTCCAATGTCTCAGGGTGAAAGGTGTGTATAATGTGGATGTTGAAGTCTGTGGTATGGAGGTTACTGGAAACCTACCTGAGTGATTCAACAAGTGCTCTTATTATGGTTCTTGAGAAGGTGTTCATAGGAGACAGTTGGGAATTAAATCCAGAGCCATTAACTTCCATTCTGCATAAGAATCTCAATCACAGTGACCTCAACCTGTCTCCTTCTCACTAAAGTGACAGGTTGATGTCACTACCCCGATATGAAAGGGAATTCACAGACTACTCAATCCCTTCTAGGGAGCTTGAGATGTTCCGTGGAAGCCCAATTTGGAACCTCTGATCCTAATCAGTATGGCAGTAGCTTATGGCCAATGTTGGCAGGAAGGCAAATTTATTTTTACCCACCCATGTTGTCTCTTCAATTCGCTACTAACTTCACAGACAAAATTTAATGTTGGCAAGCTAATGACAATGCTATTCCCTAGACTCTAAAGAACAGCTTTGCCATCCTCTACCTTCAGTCAGCCATTAATAGGACACTAATATTTTTTGACATAAAGGTATGAAATTGAATTACTTGGCTTTCATTTAATCTCTATGCACATCCCCCCACTCGCCCATGTTCTAGCTGTCTGTTTTCATGTTTTTAGTTGACCTTTTAAAATGCCAGGTGTAAGAGGACCCAGAAGTGTAAAATGTCATGCTACCAGCCAAGCTAGACAATCTTCCCTCAGAGGAAGCCCAGCACCTTGTCAGATATGTTTAGAGAGGTTCCTTTATGTGCTCTAAACATCTTCCAATATCTGGCAGCAGCAGCAAATGCTATTGATTATTAATCAGAACCTTACATAGGAGAGAAATTTTCAGAATATTTATCATAATGATAATAGTTAATGTCTATTGAGCACTGACAATGTGCCAGGCATTTCACTAAGCATGTCGCACGAATAGACTCATTTAATTCTCTTAATATGCCTGTGAGGTGGATATTGTTATCATCTCCACTTTACTGATGAGGAAACTGAAGCACAGAGTTTCCTGATTAGGAACTGGAAGAACTTTACTTCAAATCTGGGCAATCTGACTTGGAACCTGAGCTCCTCACCACTTTGCTGGGTTGCTTTGCATACCTGCTGTTTACACCAGGGTTGCAAATGATTCAAGAAGGTTTTCCATTAGGGACTCTAGGGTCTAATGCCCCAAAATTTACTGATGGGTCTCAACTGGGATATATTTTGATAGGAGATTAAAAAAAAACAGATATCCTGCTCAAAAGACTGGGTTGAAGGAAGCTGCTGCTAGTGGCAAAGTGGGAAGTGCTGCAGGTTGTTGGGGAAAGATGGGTGCTGAAAGCAGGGAGCGAATGTGTAGGAAGGTGGATGGGAAAAAGTCTTAAGCAGTAATTGGTGAGAGTCTTTGTTTTCTTCTGTCTTGTTTAGTTGATCATTCTGGAGATGAACTGAGATCATATGTGAATTCACTTGGGATCTGTAAAGTTTGATTCAAATGATAGTGTTTGTTGTATGCCATAGTGTGCCCCTTGGAAGTTAGGGAAGAGTGGTGGGTGGCCAGAGGTTAAGGAGACAACAGTGCATGGGTTGGAGTCAGAGGGCGTAGATGAGAACCTGGGAGGTAGATGCGTGTGGACAGGGAGCAGCCACTTTATGGGCTTTGAGAAAGGTGATACACACTGGTATGCCCCAATTCAGGGAACTCCAGGAAGGCGGATGTGGGAATTGGTCATCAGTCATTCTCCAAATCTCATTTCCCATTTGCAACTACTGCTCTAGTGAGGTCTTAGTCCTGACACCTCCAGCACAGTAGAGAAGACCGAAGCCCACTGCCATTGGGTTTACTGTTATCTCAAAAAATTGCTTAGGTAGAGTGCATTCAACCCCTGTCCCCCCACTTGTATTAGAGTCTGATAGGCCACTGCATTCTATGGTTCCAGCTTCCCCCTTATCTACTATGTGTTCAGGAAAATATTTTCTAATCACAATCTTTGCAGACCAATTGAGTGAACTTGGAAATAAAAGGATTACCAGATCCCCTTAATTTGGGGATAAAAATCTGTTGTGAGCACTGTGTGGTCACTCTGTTAATTGCGTAAATTTTTTCTTCCCTATTTGCATCCAATTCTTAACACTCTTTACTATGGGCCTTATTTTTATTCTTGTCCTGAGTTATTTATTTACACATGGACATGCTTTTAAAATAACTGTATGAATTCTTTAAAAATTATTCTTGATGTGAAAGAATCCCCAGGCTCTACCACACAGAGATAACCACTTGCAGCAGCTTGTTGGCCATTTTTCCATGCACTTCTCTTGCATATACAAACTCCTAACGTCCACAGTTTACATGAAGGAGCTTATGCCATATATGATTATTCATGACCTTTTTTCACTTCACAGCATGTTGATGCCACACTTCCCTCTAAATGAATAAAGACCTACACATTGATTTGTACTCTCTGCCCAGTGTTCTCTTGTTTACTTAACCACCCCGCCTGATGATTGTTTATTGATAAAGAAGTCTGAGCAGCACACAGAGATCATCAGACTCTGCTAATCCAGACTTTATAGCTTTGCTGTCAAATCCGTAGGATTCTTGATATTTATCCATTGACAAGAGAGTCTGAACTCCTCATAGAAGCAGAGAAAGAACATGAAATTGATGAGTGAAGGGTTCAAGGCTTTGCATTCCGCACTGCTACCTAGTAGTTATGTGACCTTAAAATCACTTCACCTTTCTGAACCTCAGTTTCCCTACCCGTAAATAATATTGTGAGTTTTTATTATACTTAAGGCCTATTCTAACTGAAGATCTGTATCTGCAAATATACTGTCAAGCTATAGCTTCCCTCACAACTTAAATGCTCAGGCTTTATTCGTCAATACCTTTTTGATATCCAGCACAATGGTAATACAAAGTAAGCACCCAACAAACACACTTTGAGTGATGGATCAATATACCTGTTGAATCTGTCTTTTCAAATTTCTCCCAGAAATATCCATCTCTGTAGTTTTATACCGATTGTGTGTTAAGCCAGTGAACCTCAGACATTTTTACCTGTCAACCATCTCTCTTTAGAATTTGTGCACATATATCTACACTTTAAAATAGCTACAGTTTAAATCTCGGTTTGTGTATGTGTGTGTGTGTGTGTGTGTGTCTGTGTGTGTGTGTGAGGGAGAGGTACGTACCATGTGTGAGTGTGCTCATGTGTGTCTATAGTTTGATATGTATGTGTTATTTTGGGTGAGTAAAGTGGGATTCCATATGGAGGGAGTTACTGTACTTTGCACTAAAATGAGGTTTTAGACAAATGAGGTTTAGAAAATGAGATTACATTATTTTTTTAGTTCCCCTTCCAGAGTTTTAGTGAAATTAAATGGGTGTGTGTCTGTGTTTCTGCATGTGTGTGTTTGAAGTGAAGGTAGCGAGAGGTGTCCTAAAATTGTAGAAATGTTACTCCCTTCATCTGTTCTTATCTTTCTTGTTTTCCTACCTTGCCTCATTCCATTTTTTCCTCCCTTCCTCTCTCCCTCTCTTTTTCTTTTTCCTATTTTATTTATTTCTCTCTGTTTCCTTCTTTCCTTCCCTTTCCTCCTTTACAGGATCAAATTAAAGAATAATGCCATGCTTTCTACTTTAGTTAATGACTTTAGTCAATGGTGACTTTTATCACCATTTAATATAAAAAATGAGAAACAGACCTCTCAACCAATGAAATCCCAGTATAAGGTAGTATTCAAAGACAAGTAGGTATTGTGTTATATTAATATATTGAAGAAATGTGTCAATCCATCATGGGAGTGAAAACCAAATTATTCCACTCAACTAATATCCAAGCTTAAACTACTTTCAAAATATCACTTAAAAAAAATCCAAGGAGTTGAGTTATAGGTTTTTGGAGAATGAATAGAGTGTTCAGAAAGTCTGATACTGCACCGTTTTCTTGTTTAATATGTGTCTGCAACCAGTATGTGCTGAATTCTTTTAAAATGAGTTACACAGTTCATTCTCTTCCTACAGAAAGGACACTGTACATATTTAAACATTTTTCTTCATTTGGAATGCTCAGAGGCACCATCACAAGTGCTGTATATTGTAATATGTTTTGACTGAGAGATGCTGTCAGAGGCTATTGAGCTGTGCAGAGCTACTTCAGTCTCCACCCTGTGCCTTCTGGACTCGTGGTCTGCCTTTTAAAATCAGTTTTTCCATCTCTCTGAGGGTCAGACTGCCCCTGACCGTGTCTCATTGTGATATGCATATTTGCCTGTGGTTCTTACAGCTCCACCACACATCCCACCATTTCAGATTCGCTGAATCTAATTTATTATGTAACAAACATATGGTCTTATTAAGTGTTTTTAAAAAATCAATAGAAAGTATGATATAAAAGCGGTCTCCAAAGGTTCTTTCTGTGTATTTCCACATTCCTATATAAATTTCAGAAATGTTTGGTTTCTGGAGAAGTGTTCTCTAGATAATTGTAGAATTCTGGTGAGGAACCCCCCTTTCTGGTTTGAATGTGAACTCTTCCTTCTAAACATAAAGAGACAATATTGCCCTTAGTCCTCAAGGTACATGGCTACCAATTCTGCTCTCCCATTTGTATCTGACCACTCGGTTCTTGTTTTGCAGTCCCCAGTCTGTCCCAGATCGTCTGAGGATCCGGGTGAACAAAATCGGTTTACAAGACTATGAAGGATTCCACTATGACAAAGAGAAACTCCGGGAAGCTTGTAAGTTGGAAGTGCCTAATTGATTTCATGCAATCAGCTTATCTTCAGCTTCTTGATCTTCCTGGGTTTGATGGGTAGATTCATTTATCCTTGTGCCTGAAAAATCGTGGTTAGAGAAGTGAAGTGAAACATAGTAACATGTGAGCTCCAAGTGATAATGTATGGGCTACAGAAAAAGGAACTGGAAAAGGAAAACAGCCGAATAAAATCATTCAGCTGTGGATGCCAAGTTGGGATCTCTTGGCTTATTCACCACTTTAGTCTCAGATTTGCCTGAAATGAGGAAAGCCAAAAAATTGGTGATATCAGTGGTATAGCACCATCCAGGAAACTCTTGAGACAATGCAAGTCTCTTGTTGGAGACTGCGTTATCAAACACTTCCCTCATTCTTCACGTAGGTGTGGCAAACAGGCACATTCAGCACTTCTAGATATTATGCTATTATATAATGTCAGAGAAGGGCCCACAGGATATGGAACGTTGTGATGACAAAGTGATTCATTGATGATCAAGTGCCATTATTTTTGAAATGTGCCTTGAGTCAATATATGAATTACTTCTCAAGGTTTGTATTTTCTGTATGCTTCTTTGAATACATAGCTAATTGCTAGTTCATCTCGCTAGTCAATCAGTATGTATTGGACACTTTTTACATTCTGGTACATTCTGGTCATTGTTTTAAATGTCTTATAATTTATGAGGTAATTGGTTAAAATAAGTCAGAAAAGTTAAGACCATGGGAATGTTAGATATTAGGGTTCTCGGCTCCTTCATAATTGTGGGGGCCAATAGTCAACTGCAGTAAAGTCAGAGAAGATAAGGAAAACTGGTGTCCAAGGGAATAGGCAATGATACTGATAGAAAGAAATGACTTTTATATAGAACCAAAGACTTATGAACCACGTCCCCAAATGATCTCTAAGTGTAGACCTGCCTACCTGTGGAAAAGAGGAAAATAGTTAAAACTGGCAGGAGTAATAGTAGGAAAGCCTTCTGAGCTCTGGTTTCTGAGAGTGATCTGAAGTAAGCTTTAGTGGACGGAAATTCTGAGGTCCAAGGATAATCCTAGGGGTGGGTACAGGGTGTTCTACAATCTAGAATTGGCACAAGACGAGGATCCGTACCCCTGGTAGTCTAATCATTGACTCTACTAGAGAATTTGATGTGAATTTTCTTGCTTAATTCTGTCAGCTGCTTCAGATTCCTCAATCCTTTACATTGTTTTCCTTAGACATCAATACGTTTTAGTTTCTCCCCAGCCTTTTTACTTCCATACTTTACTCTCATTTCCTTGGATAGGAAAGTCTGAGCTGGAGGAGGAGAATTCCCCAAACCTCTTTATTTCTTTCTTCTGTAAACAACATGTTCCATTTTCTAATATAAATGAGCTTATAAGTGATAGACTAGCATATAATCTAATTTGATCCCTAAAGTAATGGATGTGTATTTTTTTGATGGGGAGTATAGCTACAATGTAAATTAAATTGACTTCTAATGGTTACTTATCATAAAGAAGAGTGTTTTATGCTCTTTCTTGGTTTAAGTTCCCAAGCAAATAGCTAACAGTTCTTAAAAGAAGATAACAGATATCAAGTAATATTTTGCAGCTTACAATCAACTCCGAAGAAATTCTGTTTGGAGTGGGGACACATTTGAAATTTTTAGCTGAAATGAGATTTGAAGCTTATCTGTAGCTTTAAATTATCTGTTCTATCTTTTCCGTGGCATTATCTGTCCACCATTGCTGGAGGTAATTGTGATTTGAGCTTTTCCAAGAAGATGACATTTTCTAGCAAGTGCTTTACTCAGTATATGTGATAAAATTTCTATGTGAAGAAACTTCTTCAGTCAAATGGGGGGAAGCAATGGCATAAATGCAAACCAAATAAGTTCAAAAGAACTTAGAAATTCTCAAAAACGGGAAAAAGGAGTTATTCTAAAGATTTTAAAACTCATTCCAAAGATTTAGATTGGAAGAAAACAAAGGATGGGAAGTAAAAGTGACCAACTCAATCATTCTACTTTTAATATATGGTGATGGTGCTTCTAACCTGGAAAAGTTTATCCTTTTAGATTCTGGATTCACTCCTACTAACCTTTGCTCTTTTGCCTGATTCCAACTTGAAATAGACTACAGATTCATGGAAGGCTGACAGGGCTCAAACTGAGTATAAAGATAAAAACAAGTTTAAGTTCATCTATGAGGTGCATGCCAAAATAAATGTTGTTTCAGAAGCATTAATTACGTGAAGTTTGCACAACACATCTAGATAAAAGGGAGTCTAGGAATGTACTCTGACCTACATCCCAGAACAAAGAGAGTGAATCCTCTTAGGTCATATTTATTGTCACCAAAGTCTGAGCTAGAGCAGTAGTGTGGTACTGCGTTTGAAGTTAGTTCCCTTTCTTGATGGCGCACCAAGTGATATCTCTGGGCAGCACATGGTTCTTTGCCATCACTGTTTAGCAGAATCTTGTTTATTGTTCACATTAGATAATAAGCTCACATGACATGTTTGTCATCTAACAAAGCCCATCTTCTGTTCATAATGCAGGGCTTCCTGGTAATTCAGCCCTTAAATTGCTTTGCTTATTTTAGCACAGAGAAAGATGACTCTACTCTTTCAGGTATTTCCCATCCCTCTTCCATTTAGCCGCATCTCACTGGGGGACAATCCTTCTAAAATAATATCCTGGAAAAAGACAATCCTTGTCAATGTGTCCCTCAGCTCTTTTTGGTAAATTTCAGACTTATATAAGACACCAAAAGTCTTCCTCACTGTATAGGATGTATCAACCCGCAGATAATAGTTGTTTGTGGTTTGCAAGAGGGGACAGTCTATTCAACTTAAGAGGTACAACATAAAGAGAAAGTGGCCATATTAAAAAAATTAAAGCAAATCTGTAATAATGATATCAGAAAATCAATCTCATAAGCAGAATGAACTCTACAAGTGGGTCCATAATGGAGCTTATAATCCTATAATCTAGGCAAAAGATAATCTGTTTTTAAATATCTGTTATATGTCTAACCCCAGAAGAGATTCATTAACATATGATATATTTTTTAAAAATCTGGGATAACTTGATATTCTCCAAAATTTAACTCAATTCCTATGCAAACTGGTTAAACTTCACTTTGGACATCAGTTTACCTGCACTTTTAAATGGCCATGATAATTTACACAAACCTAGTGTTTAAAATACAAGCAGTAAAAACCAGGTTGGAGCCAACTGAAAGCAGATGTCCGTAAGGACAGGGAATTAACATTTGTTGTATATCAAATATAGTGTTTGACTATGCTTTTACATACATAATCTCGGTATAATTCAGTATTATCTAGATGTATATAACGTATAAGGTGTAATAGATCAATACATTGGTTAACACTAATGATACAAGGATTGTATCCTAACTAGGAATTTAGTTAAGCATTTGCCCTAATGGAATTTCCTTGTTTGGTGATTTAGTAGAAAAGTCAGAAATTTTGGTGTTTGAATCTCAGTTGCAACCTTGAGAAAGTCATTTAATTTCTCTGATGATCAAGTCTCTCATTTGTAAAATGAAGATATAATTATAACTCCATTCAGTGCTGAGGGTTAAATGTAATGCCATATATGGAACCCATGTTGTGAAGTCTGGCACATTAGCATGCTCTCCGAACATGGTAGCTATGATGCTTGTGGTTGTTGTGTTAAGGAGGGCCTGCTGCCACACTGCTCATCAGTCTGCAAGTCCACAAAGCCAGGCTCAAAGGAGATCATAGAGGCTGACTTCCTCTATTTGGAACCCTTCCTGGCTTGAGGCAGCTCACTTGAAATTGCACACACCACCACCCTCCAACTCACTTTCTTACTTTCAAAAATCGAATTGAAAATACTCATAAATATCACAGAAAGATTATGGGAAGAAAGTGTAACTAAATCGTTCAATTTACTTTTATTGTGTCTACTCATATAAGCATCTGCTATAATGACAAGATACTTAAGTCCATGAAGCATGTAAATACTGCATGCCCATATAGGATGATCTGGATGTTTACCTGCAAATGTCCTTCCTCAAGTCCTAATACATTCTCTTAAGTGTGTCATCTGTTATCTACCACTGAATCTTTTTAAATAAATTTTTATTTTAGAATAATTTTAGATTTATAAAAAGTTACAAAGTTAATACAGGACATTCCTGTATATTCCTCCCCCAGTTTTTCTCATTATTAAACACTTTACATTACCATGGTGCATTTGTCAAAGAAACCAATATTGCTATATTACTATTAACTAAACTTTTAGGATTTCTATCCCAGGATCAAATCCAGGATACCATATTGCATTGAGTTGGCATGCCTTCCTAGTCTCTTTTGATCTGTAACCATTTCTGTGTTTCCTTTTTTTTTTTTTTTTGGTAACCTTAGTAGTTTTGGGGGGATTACTCCTCCCTGTAGAATATCCTCCGTTCTGGCTTTGTCTGGTGTTTTACTCATAATTAGACTGAACTTATGGGCTTTTGGAAAGAATACTGTAGAGGTGAAGTATGCTTTTTGTCTCATCATGTCAAGACTTCTCTGATATCCACATGATATCCCTGGTGATGTTAACCTGATCATTTGGTAAAGGTGGTATTTGCCAAGTTTCTCCACCATAGAGTTACACTTTTTCTTCCTTCCATACTCTATTCTTGAGGAGTAAGTCACTAAGTCTAACCCACTTTCAAAAGGAGCAGAAGCAGTGGATCACTGGATTTTTAAAATTGTTTCCAGTTTGCATATTGGAGCTCAACCGAATTTGTTAACTATGCCAAAATGGTGGAGCCATTCAACCATTCATGCATTTATACTTTCAATAATTACATATTTGCATTAGTTATATATCAGATATACTAGACCTATACCATACTGTACTAGACGTTAGTCACTGAAAGATGAAACTAGAAAATCCAACATTACAACATAATTTATTCAGTACACACTTATTGAGTCCTTACTGTGAGCAAACAGTGACT